ACGGAGCAACAGCGACAAAAGTACCTCAGCGTTTGCTTCGTTCATGCTTGCATGCACCGTGTCTCTGTCATGCCGCAGCATTATCGCTTTGCAGCTTTGCGTGAGTTGCCCTTGTGGTTTGATTGGTTGCCATGCAGTTGTCGGCTGAGTTTGTGAACAACCTGGTGGCTGTGCTCAATGTTCTTGCATCCCAAGTCGCGACAGCTTTGGACACACTGAACTTTGCCTTGATGACGGAGCGTGGTCGTCCGACAGACACGGTGGTGACCCCGAGAGCACCAAGAAACTCCAGACATGGGTTGCGGCCCCGCATCATCACGGAGCTCGCCTCCTCTGACCGATCTCGTTCCCCCACACGCATTCGGGCTCGACCGGTGGACACGTCATCTACCTGGTACATACCGGCTTTGTCACCGCCTCGAGCCGCACATCGTGATGCTAGTGAACACAATCCTGGTACTCGGCCCGAATCTGTGTTAGATCGACTGCCACCGCCTCGTCCTCGTGCTCCTTTCGCGGCACACGGTGCACGAGAACCAGGACAGACGACGCCCACGACACCTGATTCGGATTCTGATGGTTCGATACATCCGCATCCAGGTGCCTCGTCATTCCGGCCGTCACCGACAGTGGTTCATGGTCCTCGGGAACTTCTACAAGAGTTTACCATTGCACTTCGCAATGCATACCGTGAACCTTTCACGGCATGGACACAGGGCGAGCTGGATGAAATGGTGAGACGGAAGAAAGATAAGGATTCCAGACCCACCTATAAGACCATTGCGCGGTTTCTTCAGAAGCCGATTGAGGAAGTGAAGCAGGCATGGAAGGTCTATCAACAACTTGAGGCTCGCGGCTAGGAACAAGCCCGGCAAATGCAACAGTGACCATTGATGGACCAAATGATAAGCGGCGGCGGTGTGTCCGGTTTGAGTTGTTGATCACATGATACTTGCTTGCTTGCACGTGACTCAATCTTGCTTGTCGTGTTGCGAAATGTCGTTGACATGCAGTGATGTCTTTCCTGAGTTGCTCAAATCATGTCAGAACAAGTTGTACAGACGTACATTACCTGGACCCATGGAGCGCAGCCGACGTGGTTACAATTTCATGGACCCGGGGCTCTACTCGACAGACCCATTCGGCTGACTACGTCGCCTCCGCCCCCGCCAAGTCTGCCACTGCTTCTCCCACCTCCTCCACCACCACCACCACCACCACCGGTGATTCTACACCCCCAGTTTATGCCCTCGATACGCAGCACCTCGATCTCAGCCCCTCGCGGACAATCCTGCCCTACCTCTTTGAATTCGCAGCGCACACGCCGCTCGATCTACAACACAGACCCTTCCCGTGATGAAGTACCACGCAGTCCAGGGCGCTCGTCCAAACGATCTCGGACAGCATCAGCTTCAGCGCCGAGGCGATCTCGACGGCCCTTTACAGTGTTTTATTCCAAACGTGCTGGCCGTTCATCGCGATCCCCATCGGCAACATGCAAACATTACTGTCACGCCATCCTGCGCCATGGACGGAAATGTCTTTCCCCTTGTGCACGTAGACGACCAGGTCACTATCATTGCAGGTGTGCGCGACATCAAAGACAGTGAAAGCCAGGTTTCAGACAGTTCAGACCTCGCTGACCCGTTTCACCTTGTGTTTGAAAAGTTGCCTTGCTCCTCAGTGGATGTGTGCGGTTGGCAATGCATGTGTGTCCTTGCCGCAGATTTTCGATTTGTTTAGCAGTCGTGCAAGCCCGTATTGCTGCTATGAACCCCCAGTATTTCGAGTACCAGATCGACAGAGGAGTGGAATGGATTCGAATTTACTCTCCGGGCATTTGGAGGCCCGTTCCGGAGGAAGCGCCAGTTCCGGACCCACTTTACGCTTCCACATTTCGGGAGTGGCGCAGATCATACCACTTCCAAGTGTACTGGTCTGAAGACAGCACCGGAGGCACCACAATGGATCCTATTGCCACGCCCAGTGCATATGTGTCCTATCACGTGTGGGAGTACCGAGACTGGCAAACGCGAGGGTACCAACGACTTGGACCTCCTGTCCAATCCATCGGACTCGCGATGCTCGCCAACGCAGACATCGAGTCCTCGGTGGGCTCGTCGGTACCTGATGGAGCGTGGCGGGAACCGTCACCGCCACCATTCCATGATCCTTGGAATAATTCGGATTGACTCATGAGTTGCATGTTGGATAAAGATGAGGTTGTGCGTGCTTTGAATGTGAGTTCTCATTGGGTTGTCTTGCTTGGTGCTGTGCATGTTGTCTCCATGTGTCCGCCGCTCTCTGTGATAACTTTGAGCAGCTTGTCGGGTTGAAATGTTCAATAGTACGGTGCAGGGTGCAGCAGGATGGATCCTACCTCGCTATTTTGACTATGACATCGTCAATGGACCAGCAGGAACGAGTGTGGAATGGATTCGAATCTATGTGCCGGGTCAGTGGCATCCAGTAGCCCCTGACACCCTGGGACCGGCCCCGGATGACCCGACCGCCTATCGGGAATGGCGCAAGGTCTACCACTTCGAAGTGTACTGGCCCAGGGAAAGCACTGGCGGCACAACTATAGGCACGGCTCTGCAACCGGTATCCCACGCCACTTTCTACACTTGGTATTACAGGGACTGGGTCACCAGAGGGTACCAACGCCTGGGTCGTCCACATCCCAGCATAGCGAGACCAGTTTTCGCTTCGGGTGCGCCGGACCTCATGTATGCTGGAATGACCTCCTCTTCGGCATCATCCAATTCACATGATAGCTGATGCCCGTCCTCGCCTCCCTGGAGAGTCTGACTGTGATGTTGGCGCCGTACAGTGCTACAAAAGTGGTCTTTTGCGTTTTGATTGTTGATTTGCTTTCACTCGTTGTTGTCTGCAGCCGTACACCTATCAACTTGACTTTCCGTGGTTGCGTTGTCATGCCGTGGCTGGAATGGTGCCCGGACCCTCAACAACCTGATGCCCAGTGGGTCAAGATCTTTCATCCGGGACCATGGACGCCTCAGGAAGAACAGGATGCTCCACCTCCTCCGCATACTTTCAGAGAATGGCGGGAGTTCTATGCTCCCAACCAGGACTCAGTTGAAGGGCAAGTCCAAGTCACTACGTGGTACAAGCGAGACTGGGCCACGGAGGGCTATCGGAGAATCGCTGCTCCTCACGCCGGTCATGAATTTGATTCCATGTATCCCTCCGATCACCATAACGTGGCCACGCAGTCTGCGTCGTTGAGTATGTCGCCGGAGCTGTTAGACGCGATTCTCAGGTCCTCGGATGCGGCTGATTTCTCCACTGAGGAACTGATTCGTCTCCAGGAGGGGATTTCTCAACAACTGACGGCCCGCGCACGTCTGACCTCTCATCCTCATCAACCAGTACGTGCATCGCGTGGCAACACACCATCGGAGACGATTGGGGTCTCCGACCCCTACACGCCCGTGAATCCGTCCGGTAGCGGCCAAGACAAGATGAGGCCCGTCTTCGAGCTCACTGAAGACTAGCCTTGCATGAGCAGCGCAGCGTACAAAATAAGGGTGACCTCTCCACTTGCATGATCTTGCTTTGCTGTTGTTTGAACATGGTTGTGCATGGTGCTTGTCCACCTACTAGCTGGATCGGAGCCCGCGACCATCCTTGCCTCTTGCCTCGACATGGACATCGATGATTCCAAGCAGTATCCATGGCTCGAATATTCGGTCTGGCATGATCAGGAGTGGGTGCGGATTTACACTCCGGGACAACCTCAACGATGGCACCGTGGTGACGCCGTACCTGATCTACCTGAAAACTCTTTTCGTGAATGGCAGCGGGTGACGGATCCCGAAGCACCAGTCCAGGCATGGGACATCCGTGACTGGCAACACCAAGGGTACCAGCGCATTCTGTCTCGGATTGAGTCCTTCGCAACTCACTGTTCACATGATCAGACTCTTGGTCAAGGTCGGAACTCCGATGCCGTTCAAGTTGAGGAGACCTTCACCTATGCCACTCCGTTTTCTCATGGTGATCGCCCGGCTGCTTCGCAGATCGCTTCAGTCCTCTATGGCGACACTCGTAATGCTCAACGTTGTGAACTTTCGTTCCCGTCTTCTGAGCGGTTTAGGGCAGTGTCTCGCTCCCCTCGCCGTGGTGGATATTTTGGCCAACGATAGTGATTTGAGTTTGAGCATGTGATCTTCCTGCAGGAGAAAAGAGAAACCTCGCCCCTCGTAGAGGGGCGTGTGTGTGCGGAGTGACAGAATGCCCTGTCACCACCCTTTCAGTTTCGCAGCAGGGGCGTGCAGCACCTTTGGCATACTGCACGCAATGAAGCTATTGCCAAAGGTGGGAAGGGTGTCCAGACGTGGACACCTGTACCTGCTTTCCGTGATTCTGAATGTCCTTTTGGCCCCCTTGGTTGCGGCGCTGTTTGTGCTTCTTGTTCTTTCCTGTAACGGTTTCGTTTCTAAAGTGAAGCCAAGTGACTTGCAAGCAGACCTCAGCCGAGACTCATCAGTTGTACTCGAGACTCATCAGTTGTACTCGAGACTCATCAGTTGTACTCGAAAGATTAGCACTCTCCTTTTGGAGTTCAAGTGTGTGTTCTTCCTGGAGCGAAATGGTTGATCAAGGGGATCTATCACTGACCATATATTCACATGTTTCCTCCAACAGCTGACATCTATTGGGTCGATAGGCCCAGATCGGCTCGATACGGGGTGGGTTCCGGGGGCTGGCTTAGTTGTTTCGTTGGGCAACTCAAGTCAAAGGTAGAACCGCATATGCGGGGTTTCGCAAAGGTTTCCCCTTCCTTTTCGATTGAAAGAGAAAAGGTTGGACACCGGGAGACCATTTTCGGGGTTCCACCCAAGACCCTTCCAGTTTTCCGGAAGTTGCCTCCGAAAATCTTGGGATGTGGTAGCCTTCGGGAAGGAAAATCGGATCCATCAGAAACCCTCTGACGTCGCAGGCCCCAAAGCGACTCGAGCCGAGCTTCCGCCAAGGTCTGGCAGAAGACGCGTGGCATGGGGCAGTGGTACCAGCCTGAACCTCGGCGACCGGCGCGCAGCGCCCAAAGGGGCCTTAAAACCACAGGCCCAAGTCTGGGTCGCCTCAGCAGGCCCCAAATCCGGAGTTCTTTCTGAGGGTTAGTTGGTTGGGGAGCCAATTGGTTGGTTGGTTAGTTGGTTCTCATGAACAAGATGACTTTTGGTCGGGGAGCCTTTGGTTTTCGCTTGGGCCATCACCACCCCAAGCCCACAGACGGTGGATGACTCGTTGCCCTGGTCAGGCCGGGCCCGGCGGCCGCGGCCTCGGATTGATCCGGGGGACCGTTTTCTCGTCTTTCTTTGTTTGAATATGGGCTTCATTTCATCTTGATATGGCTGTTTTTTTCCCCTGTTGGTTCGTGAAAGGGACTCTATCACTGTGTTTCGGCAGTGATCGGCATGTGTCTGTTTCGTGCGAGTTCGCGCCACAATCCTAAGAATGTTGCCCTCAAGCACCATGACTGTGTTATTGGTTTACTCTGGACGGAGACGCTCAGACATGGCCCGTCACAGTAATCAGCCTGGATACAACGATGCATGAGGAGCATGGCGATGCGAGGATTTGAGGGTCCACTCCAGTTGTTCGGACCAGAAATCAGAGGTGATCTCACCATTTGGGAACAAATGGGAGCATCGTTTGGAAGAACAACCCGGTTCGATTCGAATTCTTTGCGACCCGCACCTTTTTTTAGGCTGGACCTCCCAAAATGGCGCAATGGTTTTGCTTTTGGCTCCCCTTTAACAGTACTCTCAAACAAGACACACCCATATAATTGGCTAGGAATGGGAGTTTGGTGTAAACTAGTCACAATTGCCGGAGCAGCAGTAAGTATTTAGCCCTTATATTGCACGATTGGCAAGCTGGCTGGGGGCAACCCTGAAAGTGGTACTGGTTTTGTTCGTGGAGATACCAAATTTGTACCGGAAAAGGTTCCTCAAAAGGACTGTTGTGAAGCTCGAAACGGGAGACCTCATTTTGGACCGTGTTGAAATTGAAACCAAAAGGAGCATCGCACCGGTAGCTCGCACTAAGAGTTCAACTTCTTCATGAATTATGTTAAATTCCACGGATGTATTTGATCGTGTGCATCGCTTCTACCGCTCGATGACACTCACAATCTGCGATTCCCACGACCGAATTCATGCCTGCATGAGGTGAACCGCATGAGGTGAACCAACAATGGTTGTGGCGTCCTTGTGGGTTCCTTTAAACATCCCTACTCCCACATGAGAGGTTCGCATGAGTCCATGTTTCGAGCCAAAGTCTTAATGAGGCTCGTTTTTGGATTCTGGCAGAGTTGAAAGGCCTCCTTTGTTTTGCTTCCTTTTGCAACACCATATGGAACGATTGCAATTTCCTGCGTGTCCTGCATCGCCAAGTCGGGCTTCCCTTACATTGTGGTTCAACAAAATGCAGTGCAGAGCTTTCACAGATGCCCTGTGAGTCTCCTCAACAGACCACAGAAGTATACCGAAAGCCATGCATGAAGTTGTAGTAGACACTGAAAGACGGTCCAGATTCAGAACTTATATAGAATCTATAGGTAGACAGTAGCCGTAAGAGCTGCAAGTCAAGATCCTGCGGACTGAGAATTTTTGAACACCCATCGATGCCGCATCAGTCATCTCTGGATCTCTGGAGAACTCCGCAGGGGTTCCAAGGACTTAAACCCAAAAAGGGCTTCAGCTTTCCTTTTGGCTTTCCTCAACAACCGCGTGTTTGGGTTTCCTCCCCAGAACAAGACTCAGACTCTCCGGGGCCAAGAGGCTACAGCGATCTGGGACAAATTGCTGTATCAGCAATTGTTTAGAGAGCGACTGAAAGGAAGCCGAAGGGAAACCCAAACCGAAGCCGAACGGAAACCTCTGAAAGAAGTAAGCAGACGTTTGCCATGCTTGAGGGGTCCTTATCCCCCATGGTCAGTTTCCATGAGGTGCTTTCAAAGAAGCCCCACGAGTCCCTTCTCTAAAGCACATGCTGATGGTTTTGAACCTGCTTCTCACCTATTGGAAGTGTATGCTGCATGTTACAAAAGGTGTACACAGAATCAGCCCCACCCCCGCCCCACTTCCGAGTGGTTCACGGACGACAACCTCCTTGGCCCTGGCGACCCTAGCGACGCTGACGATGGCAGTGGGCCAAGTGGAAGGCCATTTTTGCCCCAACGGCTGACAGCTCTTGGGTAGGCCCAGATCGGCTGTTGGGTGCCGATACCACCCGGTTGCTTATTGGTTTCGTTGGGCAACTCCAAGGTAGACCCACATATGACGGGTTTCTGTTCTGAGGCTCGGGGAAAACCCCTTCTTTTTCTGGCTTGATTGAAGGAGAAAAGGTTGGACGGGAGACCATCGGGGTTCCATCAGAGACCCTTCCGGGTTTCCGGAAGTCCAGGAGAAACAAACACAAGCCGCATCCGAAACCTTCGGGAGGTGGGACAATTTCTGGAAGGAACCTCAGATCGGGATCCACACCCCAGGAGGTTTAGATCCTGTGAGAAATTGCGGATCTTTGGAATGGCACCTCGCCCAGTGATTGGCTTCTAAGTGTAGAGTTGCGCGCGGCGTTTTCTGGGCGCCCTTTTTGAGGTTTAAAGGGACACTTAGGGTGCGAATCCATTCGAGGCATGTCCTCCCTTCGGCCGATTGCTTTGGTGTCTTCCATTTCCTGGCAAGCAGACAGGTTTTGCTTGACGTCGTGGTGACTTTGGATGGTGTGAAAGCTAGAGTTTGATTTCCTTTGACGCAGCACATGGCACATGCCGATGAGTAATTGGAAACCCCTGTCAGAATGGCTGGTTGACACAAATTCCCATGCATGTCTATGAATGATGTGCACCGAGGGTACCCGAGAAGTATGTCCTGTGTTATTCTCCAAAGAGGTGGTATTGTGGGCTAGATAGTCTCTGGAACCTGATAGGAGGTTCCTCAGTTCGGGCTCCATGTTTCAGGTCACCCGCCAGGTTGCTGGTTTGGATTGGTGGGATTTGAAGTCCTGGCTGTTGAGGGTAAATAGAAAACCTTCCACCGCCCAAACCACCGATTCGGCTTCAAACCACCCATTGGGAGGGAAGCTGAATGTTAGTGGGTGGGTAATTCCAAGCCTGGACTGTTTCGTTGTGCTTGGCTCACAAGTTTGCGGTCGGGTGATCGGCGCTTACAAAATGGCTAAACGTTTTTCCTGCTGGTTTCCCCTGAGCAAACACACTAAGCAAGGGTGCCCAGCCTCAAAAAACCGACACACCTAACACATCGCATTTGGTCTTTGCCACTGTGAAAGCATCTCCCAAGGTCTCCTTCAGCACTCAGAACGGATGTTTTCTGACACGCCTTTGGAGCCAGACCCCCATGTTGGGCGTGGTGCGTTGCTCAACGAATCAGAGGTTTTTTTTTTTTTTTTTTTTTTTTTTTTCTCGGGGGAAAGGACAGCTTTCTCAGTCGGAATCCATCAGTTTTTCCAGGATCCATCTATCCGTCGCCTTTTTCAGAGTGCCTTTAGTATCCCGCCTTGCATCTTGAAAGAAGCTGAGCTTGCACCCAAGATGTGTGTTCCGCCCGGTTCCGCTTGCCAATCCGTGTAAGCCCTTCGCGAGCCTACATTTCGTGCAAGCAGGATAGACCGACAAGTCGAAGGATAAAAGAAACTAGCAGCAGTAGACAGTCACAAGAGTATCGCTAGCAAAAGCAAGCCCACTCCAACCGCCCACCATCACATCAGTGACTTTTGCCGGTGACCGCTTCGCCGTGACCACTTCGCCGTGACCGGCGGAATCCCCCGGGATCCCATGCCGCACGCCGGACTTCCGAGCGATGACTTGGGCCGGGCACCGAGAGGTCTGTGAGGGCTGTCGGAGTCTAAAGCAACCGGTTTTTCCTCCTTTCCCTGGAGAGGAGCTGCCTTTGACCACGGCAAGGGCCCTTGTTCATTTTTTGGGAGTTTCCCTTCAACCACGGCAATCCTTTTCTTTTTTAGTGGGAGGGGGTTGCCCCCCTCAACCACAGAAAGGTTTGGGATCCCTTCAAGCCAGAAACGGGCGCTCTTCTTTCCCCCCAACCCAAGGCGCGGCACAGAGAGACCTGTCACTCTGCCCGGTGGGATGCTTGGCCCCTTCAGCGAGGTGGCTAGAGATGTTGCAGGACATGACCTTGACCAGGCGGTTCCTGCAGGTTTTGAGCTTTTTTTAGAACTCTCTAGGGGCTTCCCCATTCTTTTCAGGGATCCTTTCCAGAAAACCTCCAAAAACCCTGGGGAAATGGCTGGTTTTTGCAAAGAATAATGGCTGAAAAGAATGGGGAATCAACCCCTAAAAACTCAGGTCTTTTCACCGTTTGATTTGGTTTGGGTGCCCTTGCCCGGCTTCAGGACCAAGGTATGTTCAGGGTTAGGGTTCGAAGGAGAGGGCGGCAGATGTGCTGAGGTTGCGGCGGTGCGGGGCTCGGATCGATCGCTTTGCGTGGGCCGGGGGGGGGGGGGGTTCGCTCGTGAGGTGATGGGAAAGGCATGCAAGGCTTGCCCCAAGGGGGGTGGAACCTTTTTCTTTTGACGTCCAAGGCGTATTTCTTCTGCACGCTGCTGCGGATAGCAATGTTGAGTCCTTGATAAAGTGCATAGAAACAGTCCCCGACTGTCATGAGGCATGCGTCATGAACAAACTACCCATACATGGTTGGAGCTGCTGAGACGATCAGTTGCCAAAAGGATACCGAACGGCCAAATCGGACACATGTTGCTTTGGCCATGTGTGGGAAATCCAAAAAACAAATCCTTTTGGTTTCCCTTTAAAGACGATCCCAAACGATCCCAAGCGGCCAATCGATTTTCCCTTTGGTTTCCCTTACACCCCAAGACGGCCAAAACGAGATGCGTTTCCGCCTCGGTTTCGGCGGTCCGAAAATCACACGAAGTCGGGCGAATCCAATTTTTGGAAGTAGTTGGGGTGGGCGATGTGTCAACCTTTATTGATGGCGCTTCATCTATCAGATGGATGCGTATGTATGTTTTTCCCCCCCCTTTTCTGGTGCCTGGGTGTTGCTGGATTCCAGTCATTTTTTCCGGGTAAGTTTGCATTGTTTTAGCCAAACTTGGGCACCAAGGAAGGGGGGTGTGCCACAATTCTACAATTACGAATTCTGGACCCAAGATTGCTGGGAGACGTTCAATGTGACAATCTGGAATTCAAGATTCAATATGTCAAAACAATGTTTTCTACAATTCTGGAATATTGAATCTTGCATCCCATTAAAAAATATCTGGGATTCAAGATTCACGATTCAAGATTTCAAATTAATCTTTTTCTGGGAATCATGAATCTTGAATCCCAGGTTATTTTTTTGTTGGTTTAAACATTTTTAAAACATCCAGGTTTGTCGAAATACTCTCGGTGTTCAATAAGATTCTCGGAAAAGCTTTCCGTGAAATATTTCAATCTCGAATCTTCAATCCAGTGTTAAAATACGTTCGCAGTTTTAGAACAACTTGAACATTTTTAGGGTTTGACCAGGATGGATGATTCTCAGGAAAGTTGTTGTTTGTGCAATCCTCGATTTTGAATCCTCAATCCAGTGGTAAAGCACTTTCAAGTGTGAGAAGAAGTATAAATGTTGTTTGAGTTTCCAGGATTGACAATTCTCAGGAAAGTGTTCTGTGTAATCTTCAATCTTATTTTTTTCCATCCGGTGGTAAGATACTTTCAAGTGCTTAGCGATCCAGTGGAAACACTTTGAAGTTATTAGTTAGACAAACGTTCAAGTGCTTTCGGTGAGCGGTTTGCTTCATGTTAGCTATGAAGCATGTTGACCCTTTTCCAGGAGGTAAACAAAGGTAGGTGTAATGCTCAAAAACACTGTATTTTACAGTGTTTTGTGAAGAGGCGCAGGATCATTAGGGGTACTGTATATGTGTGCATGTATGCATGCATGCATGCATGCATGCAATGTATGCATGCATGCATGCATGCATATGTAATGTATGTATGTATGTATGTATGTATGTATGTATGTATGTATGTATGTATGTATGTATGTATGTATGTATGTATGTATGTATGTATGTATGTATGTATGTATGTATGTATGTATGTATGTATGTATGTATGTATGTATGTATGTATGTATGTATGTATGTATGTATGTATGTATGTATGTATGTATGTATGTATGTATGTATGTATGTATGTATGTATGTATGTATGTATGTATGTATGTATGTATGTATGTATGTATGTATGTATGTATGTATGTATGTATGTATGTATGTATGTATGTATGTATGTATGTATGTATGTATGTATGTATGTATGTATGTATGTATGTATATGTATGTATGTATGTATGTATGTATGTATGTATGTATGTATGTATGTATGTATGTATGTATGTATGTATGTATGTATGTATGTATGTATGTATGTATGTATGTATGTATGTATGTATGTATGTATGTATGTAATGTATGTATGTATGTATGTATGTATGTATGTATGTATGTATGTATGTATGTATGTATGTATGTATGTATGTATGTAATGTAATGTAATGTAATGTAATGTAATGTAATGTATGTATGTATGTATGTATGTATGTATGTATGTATGTATGTATGTATGTATGTATGTATGTATGTATGTATGTATGTATGTATGTATGTATGTATGTATGTAATGTATGTATGTATGTATGTATGTATGTATGTATGTATGTATGTATGTATGTATGTATGTATGTATGTATGTATGTATGTATGTATGTATGTATGTATGTATGTATGTATGTATGTATGTATGTATGTATGTATGTATGTATGTATGTATGTATGTATGTATGTATGTATGTATGTATGTATGTATGTATGTATGTATGTATGTATGTATGTATGTATGTATGTATGTATGTATGTATGTATGTATGTATGTATGTATGTATGTGTATGTATGTATGTATGTATGTATGTATGTATGTATGTATGTATGTATGTATGTATGTATGTATGTATGTATGTAATGTATGTATGTATGTATGTATGTATGTATGTATGTATGTATGTATGTATGTATGTATGTATGTATGTATGTATGTATGTATGTATGTATGTATGTATGTATGTATGTATGTATGTATGTATGTATGTATGTATGTATGTATGTATGTATGTATGTATGTATGTATGTATGTATGTATGTATGTATGTATGTATGTATGTATGTATGTATGTATGTATGTATGTATGTATGTATGTATGTATGTATGTATGTATGTATGTATGTATGTATGTATGTATGTATGTATGTATGTATGTATGTATGTATGTATGTATGTATGTATGTATGTATGTATGTATGTATGTATGTATGTATGTATGTAATGTATGTATGTATGTATGTATGTATGTATGTATGTATGTATGTGTATGTATGTATGTATGTATGTATGTATGTATGTATGTATGTATGTATGTATGTATGTATGTATGTATGTATGTATGTATGTATGTATGTATGTATGTATGTATGTATGTATGTATGTATGTATGTATGTATGTATGTATGTATGTATGTATGTATGTATGTATGTATGTATGTATGTATGTATGTATGTATGTATGTATGTATGTATGTATGTATGTAATGTATGTAATGTATGTATGTATGTATGTATGTATGTATGTATGTATGTATGTATGTATGTATGTATGTATGTATGTATATATATATATGTATACATGTATGTATGCTTTTGGAATACCAGTTTAATTTCGGACCTTTCTTATGATGCAAAAGGGCCAAGATATAAATAACACAAACCGTATTTCAAATTTCCTTGTAGAAGTCCCTTAAATGTTTAGCCATATTTAATATGAACTAAATTGAGAAGTAGTCTCTATTTGATTGTTATTCTGAAAAGCTAACTGAGTTGTGTTCGTATTTCTAACACTTAGATCATTTTTGGGAATACACTTCTATCTTCTTTTGTTGAAGATTAGTTGGAGTTTGCCCGAAACTATACTTATATTTTCATGTAGCTCCTATTTTGGAAAGGATTTGCTTATATCAGCTGTAGTTGAGTAATGTTGAGCATAAACACATTTTTGAAAACTATATCCTTACCAAATTATATTCAGAATCCAATTCTAGTTGAAATAAAATCCAATTTGGAAAGAGTATCATATTAGCACATTTCGGATCTTGCCATGATGGACTGCAAGCCCATTCGTCTGTGCTTAAAATCTATTGCAACGAATCTAAACTCTACAGCGTGCGCGCTGAAATCAAGCAAAACCTAGGCACCGGGGGGGGGGGTAGCATATATATATAACACACGTACATGTGCAAACCTGCACAACAAGATCAGCAGCGATATATATATATATATATAAATACATATATATATATATATATATGTTTGTATATTAACATATATATATATATATATGTATGCATGGCGTTTCATGGGACCTTGACGCCGTTTTTGGTCCAACACCTCACCGGTGCAGGTCGCATCTTTTAAAAAAGTCTCTGTGGTACCATCTTCTCGCCTTCTTCCGGGTGTTTCATGGAATCTTCGGGGGGGGCTATGGGGGGGGGGGGGCTATCCCAGGATAAGCCCAGGATATCCCAAGGATAAACCCTTAATAAGGCCTTAAGGGCTTAATAATGGCACCCCGGATTAATAAACCCCTGGTTGATTAATAGGGGGTGCCCCTGTTTTAGTGGAGAGTCATCATTGGAGGTGAGCACCCACCTATTACTCCGGGGTCAACATTAAGGGAGTTGCGCCCCCCGCTCCCCAGAGCCCAGAATTAGCTCCCCTTTTAGCTTTTTTTTTTTTTTGCTTTTTTGGGGTCCGTTTGTTTTCCACCGGTCCTAATTCCATAGCCCCCCTGGGTCTCACAATCTTTTCGCTAGGCGCAGAGAGTCTGTGCCTGGAGCGCGAGGAGATGCAGCTCGTCCGCTCTGCGAATGTTTTTGCCAGGTGGCGGCCATGTTTCTTGGTGGCTCCCGGCCCTCAGGGTGTTTCGGTTGCTAGGTTTTTCAGTTCGTAGGTGTTCTTTTTTGTTTTTTAATAGTTTTTTTCCCCCTCCTGTTTCTAGGTTTTTCAGTTTTTTTTCTTGTTTTTTTTCCGGTGTTTGGTTGTTTAGGTTTTTAGTTTTTTAGGTGTTTAGGTTGTCAGTTGGTTTTAGTGGGTGGTTTCCTTGAGGCCACCAAAAGGTTGACTTTTTAGCAGGGGATCTGAGGACAGCCAATTGTTTTGGCTACGGCTTGACCTTTAGAACATCACGACAAGGCTCTTCTTGAGAAAAAAAACAAAAACAAAAAGAAAACAAAACAAACAAAAAGAAAACAAAACAAACAACAAAAAAAACAGCAACTTTCTGGTAGGCCCACGCCCATTTCGGCTCTCCCAGTGATCTGATTGTGTTGTTTGTGTGTTCGGCGGGTTTTATGGTGGGGAAGTAGAGAACATATAGCCGGGGACACGATCCACTCGGTGAATTATAGCAATTTGTGCCACCAGAAACCAGAAGCACGCGGGCAGAAGCCAGAAGAAACATCCGAAGGATGCCTGAGTTTTGGGAGGGCAAGGTTTGCATGTTGAACATGCGCTTGGTTCCCAGCCGTCCGGTTCCGTAGGTCTTGTGAGTTGATTGGGTGTTTCCATTTAACCCACAGCTGAGAGCAGCAAGCTCAAATTATGCCCGGCTTGCGGGAGATCGGAGGTGAGCTCAGCTACACTCTGATATGCTTCCTTTGGGAACCCTGGCGCAAGCTCAACTTTGAGGGGATCAGTTTGGAGTCGTGAGACTTCGAGCCGCGAGTCCGGTGGTTTGGGGACTCTTGCGGCTCTTGAGCGGCTTTCTCCTTTTCTTTTGCCCCAGTCTTCGGAGGCCCTAAACTAATTTCTTGACCTCAGGGAATTCCGCGCCGAAAGGGACCCCACAAAGGGTGTCTCCTTTTCTGGTGACCCCCGAAACGGCTGAGGCGGTGGTCCCTTCGGGTTTCCCACCGCAAAACCGGGGGGCGCCAACTCCTCGAGAAAAAAGACGAGCGCACCACCACAAGCAGACGAGGCTGGGCCCCTGGAAGTACCAGGGCGAGGGCGGCGGCGCCTGGAACCGGGTGGAGGCGCGCAGAGAAAGCACACGCCGCTTCGGGTGAAGCTCGTCTTTTTGCAGGCGTCCAGTTGCTTCAGTTTTATATATGTATATATATATATATATGTATGTATGTATGTATGTATGTATGTATGTATGTATGTATGTATGTATGTATGTATGTATGTATGTATGTATGTATGTATGTATGTATGTATGTATGTATGTATGTATTGAGGCTTCTTTAAACAAACAATCCCTGGTTGGTTTGAAAGGCAACCCATCACTACTGGAGGTATGCAAAGTTGGCATCCGTGAAACGGGTGGTTTGAAAAGGGACACCAAAAGGAAACCAAAGCCATTTTTGGTAGGGGTCACTGCCATTTTGAGACCCCACAATTTGCAGACTGGTTCTTTGCAGCAGTTGGGGGGAGTGGTTGGGGCTTGAGGCATCGACCATTGTTTCATCTCCAAGCTTACCCCAGCCTGGTATTTAAAGGGACACCAAAATGACACCAACCATTTTAGGGGGACCCCTGTTTTGAGAAACACCCATTTGCGCCACAATCAAAACTCGGGTAGATGAAGGTTAGTAGGGGATCATCCTAACCATAAGAAGCTACGGCCTTCTTAGTTCTTGAAGCATTCTGGGATTACGACCATGTTGGAACCGGGTTTTGATAAAACAGACCACAGAAAAAGATCGGGTACCCTTGTTCTAGCCTCTCAAATCTGGAGGACCTAGAAGATCAATCTGCTTCAAGCCATTGGCATCCTTTCATTTCACGTTCCGCTTGCCTCGTTTGATCATGACTCATGGATTCCCGGTGGTTCCCCCGGAGGACATGAAGTTCGTGGGCCAGGCGCGGGGAAAAGACCCGCGTGTGGTGCAGTGTGTAAGTCGCGCGTGCAACGGTTGCCTGGGTGGGTCCACTGTTGGGATGGGGTTTAAAGGGAAACCAAGAGGAAACCAGCCACCTGAAAAAGTTCGCAATTTTGAGAAGCACACATTTTAGGTGGGCCGCGGGAAATGGCAATGTTCGCTTGGTGTGCCAAAATTGTCCTGAAGATGGTGGCACACCACCCTGTGCAAGTGGTATTTTTTCGAGGACATGTGGTTTCACTATCCATTTTTTCGCCACATTGAGGTTTGCAGATCGGATGGCAGCAGGGGAGTCCGTCGCAACCCACGAGACCTCACCGTAGCAGGGTAGCGGATACCAAAAAGCCCGCACCGGGAGCCATGAAATGATGAAAGTTGATGCCAAAGGTTCCTTTCATGGTTGTTGGAAAGCATGTTTTTAGAGCCGGCGTCCTTATGTTCCCCTTGTTGGGTGATTAACATGTGAGTCACGGTCAAAGTATGCGTAGATCACTTTAGTAAAGCAGGGTTGGCAGCATAAATGTGCAGAACGCCTCGCAAAACGAGAGGGCCCCTAAGATGGGCAGAACGCTGTAAAACGATAGGGCCCGCACCAAGAACGATATCCATAATGACCTCATTGACGAAGACAAGTGATTTTGACGGTAGCTCATGTCACATTGTTGCCATTTGTCTTGAAATCATTTGCTTCTGGTGGGGTGATGTAAGGGGACATCAAGGTATGTTCGGGCCATCCGGTGGTTGATATCCCCTAACAGCCCCGGAACTTCCAGGAACCGAATCTCCGGAGCCCGCTTATCGCCTAGGGCCTGATAGCTTTCAGCTGGGCAATAACAGATAGGGAGAGTCAAAGCCAGGTTCTGTGGTGCCCATGGAAAGTGAGTGTTTCCTCGGGCACTGGCTGTTGCGGGCTTTCAAGCAGGAAGCAGTGCAAACTCTTAGGGCTTCCTCGCGGTTTTCGTTTCGAGCCCCATCCAACAAGGCATTGCCCAATTTGAGACACAAGCCACATGTTGAACTTCCTAGTAGGGACATTGTGCGAAATGGATTTCGTCCACCCACAGTATGAAGGTTCCATTCTTGAGCCCGACATGTACTCATATAGGTGTCCTTTTCATTGGTCAGAACACCTATGTTTGTGATCCGTCCAGATCAATTGTCAACTTGTGATGGACATGGGCCCTTCAATGAAAAACAAACTCCTGGGGGGTCTCCGGATTTGAGTAGAACCTTGCGAGTTTTCTCTTGGGGTGTGACAGTCAGGTGAGGCTAGTTGCGCAATTCCGATTCTGGCTTCGTCCCCTTGCTGGTGCTCAGCATGGAATGCGAAATAGAATGTTTCCTTGAGGACCAAAGCCTTGGTTCCTTTTATTCCATGCAACTCATTCCCTACCGTTTTTTAGCACCGGCCGCGAGTTTCCTGCCCCACCCTTCCATTTGTTCAAGAATATCTTGTATTTTCCCCTGTTGGTTTTAAAGGGAATCTATGACTACTGGGCATATTAAAAAACAAAAAAATCCAGTGGGCGAAGAAGCAAATGGCAGCACCGCCTTCATTTCTCGAACAGCAACTGCTCGCGAGGGCCAGGGCAACTGGGGCCGGGAGCGGGTCCTGACGGGCTGGCGCGTGCGCACCTGCAGCCGGCAGCCTCAGAGAGAATGCTCAACCCAGACGAAGATCTCTGCCGCTGTTGGGGTTTTCAGACTTTCACTTTTTGTTTTTTGTTTTTGCATATTTCCGTTTAACCAGCAAAAAGTTAAAAGCTTTTTGCTGGGGGATCTACAGCACCCAAGACATGGAACCCAGAGAACCATTTGAAAAGAGGAGACTTTTTGGGACATGGACCCCCTCAAAAAGGGGTTCTTTCGTTCATCTGCAGAGCGCTCAATCATTTTGCTCGGGATTGGCGAATAATTCCCCTGGCTTTGAAGCGAAGCTATCATTTTTTGTTTTTCCAGGGCCTTGTTCGGCAAATGGAGTTCAAACCTAGGGTTCCCTCAATAAAGTATGGGCTTATGTAACTCTACCGCGGTATAGTCCCTTCATGTGCCCTAAGAATAGGCCCCCGTATGTCCAACCTATGGAAACCCCACCAAGCACAAAGGACATCAACAGGACACTAACGATTTTGGAAGGGACCCCTAATTTGCAAAAAAACAAGTATGTATCTCTAAACATCGCCCCATTCACTTCAAATGATGTGAAAAATCCCAAACCTGGGGGGGGGGGGGGGTAGGGGGTAGGGAATGGGTCGAGTCGAGTCTCTCACAGTGAACCCCGCGAAACGGGGTTGCTTCCTCGCTTCCTGTCAGAGGGGTCTTGAGAAGCTCTTGGCGGCGGCAATTGATTCGGATTTCAGCTACCGCTGCACCCCCAAGGGGACCCCTTTTCCTTCTCTCTCTCTCTCTCTCTCTCTCTCTCTCTCTCTCTCTCTCTCTCTTGGGGACGTGGAGCTGGTGAAAGGAGGGCGGTCCTCGGAGGATTTCAGGGTGGCGAAGATGAATCGGCCATGTGCTTTGAACTGAGGTTGGTCGGTTCACGAGAGGGAGAACAGAGGGTGGCTTTTGCAAAATGTTTCTATATGGGATGCTTTGAGAGGTATCAGGCGATCTTTATCACGAAGGTCCTGGGGGATCTCAGATTATTATTTTGTGTAAAAGAATTTGCGACATTTCTGTGCGCATTTCTCTCAAATAGTGTCCATTTCTTGATATTGCTGGCTTTTCAGGAGCAAGGCTAGTTTAGCACATGCAAAGGACCCGACCAGACTAGGGAGGCTTCTAAGCCACTTCGTTTCCATGACCAGAATTTGCTCTCAGCCTGAGGATCAAAACCATCAGGGGGGGTTTTGTGTTGGGACCAACTTTCTACCCCTTCCGAGTTTTCCCTTAGAGCCCTTGCCGGGGGAATGAGTTGGACCTGATCTGAACCATCCAGGTTTCCTGTCAGATTCCCCATTTTCAACGCTCGTGTTTCCTTGACCCGAGAGCTGAGAACCAGGAAGAGGGGTGCGCATCTCTTTCTGGGATCCCTGCAATGGCTGGGCTTCTCTGTTGGTTTCCCTTGAAACCTAGAAACAACAACTGGCTGTGGCTCAAAAAACCGGTACCAAAATGGAACCCTTGTAAGTGGAAACATGGACCAAAACCTGCGTAACCCCCCCTGTTTAATTTTGAGCCACGGCCAACTGGGTGTATCTTAAAGGGATCCCCAAAATGGCCTTTTGGTTTTTCTTAAACTACTAGAAACTCGGGGTACGAGCTCCGAAGACGAGCCATGGAGGTCTGTGCTTCTGCTTCTTGCTGCTGCTGGCGGCGCTCGGGGTCATCGGCTTTTACATCTTCGGAAGGCGAACAGTTGGGATTTTCGCGGTCGGACGGCCCCGAAATCCCAATGTGTGTTTGATTGTTTGTTTGTTTGTTTGTTTGTTTGTTTGTTTGTTTGTTTGTTTGTGTGTGTGTGTGTTTGTGTCTGTGTCTGTGTCTGTGTCTGTGTCTGTGTCTGTGTCTGTGTCTGTGTCTGTGTCTGTGTCTGTGTCTGTGTCTGTGTCTGTGTATGTGTATGTGTATGTGTATGTGTGTGTGTGTGTGTGTGTGTGTGTGTGTGTGTGTGTGTGTGTGTGTTTGTTTGTTTGTTTGTTTGTTTGTTTGTTTGTTTGTTTGTTTGTTTGTTTGTTTGTTTGTTTGTTTGTTTCCTTCTTTGTTTGTTTGTTTGTTTGTTTGTTTGTTTGCTCGTGTGTTTTTACATGAGTAGCAGTCGCTTTCCTTTTGGTTGTTTCAAAGGGAAATCAACAGGAACCAACCCTATTTTAACACCCCCCCCCCACGCACACGCACACACATACAAATGGGTTCGTCTCAAAACAAGGGGGAAAACACAAACCTTTCAGATATTCGAAGCAAGTTATACAAACATGACCCTCCATTCGAGATGCTCCTCACAAAGCCATTGGCCGCATGTTTCTTTTCTTTTGAAAACTCACGTTTCGTTTGCAAGCAAAAAGTCCCCAACACGTACAAGGGGGTTCTTCAAACATGAGTGGCAAGCCTTTAAAGAGGCGTCCCGCGCACAAGGCGACCCCATGTGGTGCCACGTGTTCTGCAGCATTTCCAGCTCCAGGGCCAGTCTCGCGTGACCTGCCGCTCCGAAGGGCAGAGAAGCTGACAGGCTAAAAGAATCAGCATGGCGACGAGCGCTTTCGAGGAGACCAAGATGGGGGACGTGTCAACCGCGCCCGGCACTCCTGAAGAACTTGAGGATGCGGGCCGGGGAAGGGGGGGGAGAGTTGCCAAAAGGATCCCTTTTTTGCGTACGTTTGAGGCGGGGGCATTTGCGGGAGGTTAGATCTTGGCCACGTCTACACTCATATTTGGTTACCAGTTGATTTGGAGGATTCCTTCGCGATTCCTGTGTCTTTGGATGTATGTGGGAACTTTGCGGGGGTGCCGGGGGGGGGATATGAGTCGCCAGAATCATTGGGAGTCGAATCCCTTCAGGTGTATGCATAGCGTGTCCAAATTACTAAATGTAGACATACTTCTCAGATAGGGACCTCATGTGAGTCTGAATGAGCAAATTTACCTAACCTGCAAACTGCAGGTCGAAGTCCTTCCTCCCCCCTTTTCGTGCTGGTCCAAACTGAACCATCCTCGAACCTAATCCCAAACGGTGGATTCCCAAAAGCCCGAGAACGGTTCCACATCGAACCAGATCTTTTGTGATCCAAACTGGGGCCCATCATTTTGACTGCTTGTAGTCCCCCGAGAATACACCAGGTTTAGTATTCCGGGGCACTTTGATAAGGGGGTTTCTTAAAATGGTGGACCCCTTTTGGTGGGTGTGTGAAGGGAGCTTCTTTTGCGGGACCCCCCACACTGGTGGCTTGCCTTTTTAGATTTCCCTTCACCCACGACAAAGAAAAGCAGCTCCACACTGGTGGCTTTTCTTTTTAGATTTCCCGTTACCAACTGCGTCACCGGAAAATATTCCATGCTGAACCGCATGGACCGCTCAACTCGAGGACGTCCGCATGGAGGGCCTGACGGTGGGCGAGCTGGCCCGGGAGATCAACAACCTGCCGCCCTGCTCCACCTTGCTGAGCCTCCGCGAGGCCCAGAGAACAAGTCGACTTCTACTGTGGATGGTTGCGAAATCCACTTCGCACCACTTTGAAACCATAATTTGGGGGTATTTACAGGAGAATCATCATTCCAGGGACTTTGGGCAGTGCAGGATTTTGTCCATCCACAGTAGGTCCCCAGCTAGGTGCCCCTTCTCACCATCCTTTTTTGGGGAGGGTTCCCCTGCTATAATAGGCCACAGAAAAAGGTTGGCACCCTTATTCTAACCTCTCTACTGGAGGACCGTTCGATGTCGGATCCGCCGCGGGGGAAGATATCAGGGGTGGTCTTTCAAAGGCTTTTTCGGGGGTCTTTCAGGGTTTTTCCGAGTCATTTGTCCTTAAAGGGAACCTCCAACAGTGGTAATTTTGGTAGACATCACTCGGTTTCCGAGCCATTCCCTTTTTGGAGCCTCCAAAAGTGGCGATGAGTAACTTTTAAAGGGGGAATCCAGTCACATCGACCACACTGATCCCCGCAGAGGGTTGCGGCGGAACCGCCACGCCAATCCCCGCACAAAAAGTAGAAGGAACCCGCGGATTTTTGATGTCAACCACGCCAGTCCACGGAGGGTGTCATTTTTGCAGAGTGGGTTCGGTCCCACCGCGACGCCTAGAAGAATTCTCGTGCAAATGAGCTTGCGGCGCGTGCAACTTTCCTCGCGCAAGTGCGCTCGTGTTTCTCCATGCATGAGCTCTTGTGCATCTTCCGCGTGTGCATCTTGCTACAATTTTACCCGAAGTACCCTTTGCGATGCTTTCAGTGACCCCTGTCTTTCTGGCGGTTTTTCTGAGGGAAACGGTGCGAACGGTTGTATCTGAAAATCGCCAAGAATGGGGTGATTCCTCGTAATACCAGGGTGTCATGTAGATGCTTTGGTTTGCCATGGTTTCGGGGGGAACAGCGGTGGTTTGCAACTTTTGGTGGTACTAGCGGGGAGAACGCTCTTTGCAGTGAGAACGACGCACGCGAACGACTTGCGCAGAGCAACCTGGAGAGAGATAGTTGCGAAGAGTGCTTTTGCAGCGAAGCTTGCACAGGGCACTTGCACTTGCACGTGCGGAGAAACATGCGCTTACAGCTCGCCGAGAGAACTTGCAACGGCAACTCCGAGAACTTGCCAGAGAAACTTGCGCAGAGAAATTGAGCTGAGAACTTGCGCAGAGAAGCTTGCAGAGTGAACTTGCGCAAAGAATAAATGCAGACAACATGATTCGCTGTCTATTATCGCCCTCGTTCTTCTAGTTTTTTCCTACTGACACGGAGGCCTGGTGTCACAGAAAAGGTGAATGTCCACAATGCCCGTGGCTGGACTCACTCCTGAGTTGGTAAGCCCAGAAGACAGGCACACATAGCGACCTCACAAAGGGGGCAAAGATCCAAGAAACCATCTCCAGGAATCTTCCATTATTTTCAACAAACACTGGAGGTCAGAATGTGTTTCTCCGTTGGTCGACAGTCGGGGCAAGCCCCAGCCCATCTGAAGCGCCCAAGTGGGAAACTCATGGGTTTGTCTCTTTGAGACGCAAGAGAATGGCCCCCACCCCAACAAAAACGGCCATCCCAAAAAGAGGTTCCCCCATTTGAGTCACACCCCGATCTCAAAAGGGTGATGTTCAACTCACCCCCAAAAAAAAGGAAGCTCTTCACAGGTCTGTGTCAACTTGGTTGGAAGAGAATCCCTCGATTTTCAAGGGGGGCTCCTTGTTTTGCAAGCAAGGTACCCTCCCACCAAGCATTCAACCTGCATAGTTTTTTTTTTCTTTTTTCTTCCCCCTGAAAAGGAACATTGTCTTCCAGGACCCCCTTTGCAGGTCCCATGTTTGTTGGGTAAACTTAAGCCGGTTGATTTCCCCTTGGGGGGCACGGGCAGGTTTGTGCCTTATTGCACAAATGCGTGGCCTAAAGCCCAAAAACACGGGGCCGCGTCTCGAGGCCGCCCAAATCTTGCTCAACACCGGGCACGCGGCGGCCTGCGTGGTGGACGAGTCCGGTGCACCGGTGGGGGTCATCACAGAGGACGGGTTGCCCGCCCCGGTCGACGCCTCCAAATCCGCCAGTTCCGTTCCACTCATGTCAAGGCGTGCCAAAGGTCAGTGGCTGAGAGTGCAAAGCAAAGCTGAAGGTCCCCCCCCATGGTGTGATTTGAGTTTTTGTTGGGTGCCGGACCCTTGGCGGACATCATTTCGGTGGGGAAGAAGCGCCCCCACTTTTGAGGTGGTTCTAACTCTGAAAAATCATGGCCATGTTATCGGAATTTCATATTCTTGGAGGGGGCTGCTTTGGACATGTTTGGCGTTGGCGTTGACTGGCTGGGGAGTGGATGGGGCCTGGACCCCCAGGCTAGCAGGGTGGATTGGAGCTGGGCAAATGAGAATGAGCCCACTGATCCGGGGGTAACACGGGGTCCCGCACTCGAAATTCTTTCTCTCTTGGTTTGCAAAATACAGTCAGTTGCTCAGATTGGAGTCATGGGAAATCTTCGAGACATTGTGCTGACTCCACGGATTTTCTTGCTGGTTTGGTTGGGTCGGTTAGGTTGGGGACCCTTTTTGGTGGGGTTTTAAGGTTGAGACCAAAGGAACCTGGAGCAGAATTTTCCTTCTCTTTTCACGCAATTCCATGTGAAACGGCGCCTTGCCGCGCCCTTTCCGAGGACGACATCCTCCACAGCTACGTGCAGGGAGCTCCCTGGGACACCACCGTGGGGGAGTGGGTCCGTGGCGGTGGCGGAGCCTTGTTCGAAGCCCCGGCGCCGGTGCCTCGGCACATGTTGACCCCGGATGAATACACCGCTGTTTGCTGATATGGGGGTGCGCCTGGTTTTAGTGTGGATTCTTCTCTTTTGGAGGGGATTAACCATGGCAAGGGGGGCAAAAACCATGGTGATGACCCACTTACCAAGTACAATGCGCCTAGAAGCAGTTCCGAAATATTGCCCAACCCCAGGGTTTGAAAAAGGCGCGACTCAAGGGGCCCACCGGAGCGGAGTTTTTCCCGAGAGCCTTCCTGGAGGTCGATTTGCCCATCCGCCAGCGTTGCTAGCCACTTGCAAAACGACGCAGCGAATCGATCGCGTTTGAGGCATGGGTCATGCCTGAAGAAAAGGGGCGATGTCCGACATTTTCAGGTGAGCCACGATCAAAACCCGGGTAGATGAAGCTTAGCAAGGGCCAGTCCCAGCCTGAAATAGTTGCGGCCGCCTTCTTAATTCCTGAAGCATGGTTCT